ACAATCAGAACTGCTCCCAACAAACATAGATGTTTACATCAGCGCTGTAACTTGCACTATTTTATCAGCCGATTTACACTATAACCAGGGGTTGCCTCTTATCTGTATTTCATTTTATTTAATTTAATAACTGTACAGTATTCTGTTTATAGTAACCATTGTCCTTCATGTAAATATGTAAAAATTGTGTATGTTTCTGTTCTGTGTCCTGTGTACTGTTTGTTTGCATATGTGTCCTTCTTGCTGCCGTTACACACAAATTTCCCCTTGTGGGACAATTAAAGGATTATCCTATCCTATTCTATTCTATTCTATTCTGTTCTATTCTATTCTATTCTGTTCTATTCTATTCTATTCTATTCTATTCTACTGACAGTCCATCACTGATCCTTTGTCCTATTTTGGCCTTAAACTCCGGGACAACAAATGCTACACTGGTTTGACTGGCTGTGTTCTTTGATGCATCTGGTAGAGATCTGGGACTCTCCACCATTTGACCCAAGATCCAAAGAAGCTTCTGGGATGAGAGGTGAAACGCCTTCAAGCAACTTAAAGAAGTCCAGACGCTTTTCTTTCCAAGCTCCTTAGACTACAATGACCTGGACGACTGAGAACCTCCACAGACAATGAAAATAAAAAGGAAACATTAAATGTAGTGTATGTGTTAAAAAATGAAATACATCATTCAAAAAGATGTGGAATTGTTTCACTGACTGTTTTACAGTTTTACAGTACAAGATTCATCCAGATCATTTCTATAGTTTTAATAAATTGGTTTGTTATTCGACCTTGTTGGTGATTAAATACTTCTTATTGTATCCATATCAATGGCTCATTAATATTCATAAAGTTACTGTTCCAGTAAAACTGACAGTGAGGGGTTACAGGACAATGAATCATATGTGTTTTATCCAGTATATTAATGGCATCTCTGAAAACATCTTTATTCAGTGCTGTCTGTATATTTGGTCCATTTGTGTCATCATGAAACACTGTACTGTGTTCTCACACAGATACGGGAACATCACAGGTCCTCACAAACACAGGATATGGAAGAAAATGACCTTTTTCCCTTCACTAGCTGGGACACATGTTATTTTGGATCCTTATATATATATATATATAATATTGATTTATTTCTGTTTTCCCACACAAAGTAATAAAGTGCAGCATCGACTGTTTTACGAATGATTTAGGAACATTTTTACTTTTGCAGGATACACTGAGTGTGAATATCCCTGTTTAAGATAAAAGGATCAGTGATGGATCGCTCATGAGCCACAGATCAAATCTGTTTTTCATTTTTGGATTTAAATGCTGGAAATTAGAAATGACCCTCTCAGACTGATCTCGACAGATGTTAGTTCCCAAATAAGTCATCTGTTCTTTGACAGGAAAACCTTTAAGGACACGAGCCTCTCCAACAGGAACAGGACACATTTTCATGTTTAAAGTCAGACCTGATACTCCAGAGAAAGCATTAATGCAGTTTATCATCTTTGTTTTGAACTCATCTTTAATGAAGACAGCTGTATCACCTGCGAGCTAACAGCATTTCATTTTCCAGTTTAACTGAGCTATTACATCATTCTCACTGTGGATCTGTGCTCTCAGAGCCTCCCCGTGACATCATCTGATGGTCACCTTTCACTAAGCTAGACTTGAAGAGACAGCAGTCTGATATTTAATTTAAGTTATTCTGAAACAGCTGTAATCACAAACAGAAGGTAAAGCATTTTTTTACAGGCATATTTATTATGACAGGTAAGTGAATACACAAATGTATATTTATGTAATTTTATTTGTTTACTAAAACCGATTTCTGACTTGTTGGGCTCTGTTATGACGTCAGCATTAAAAGACGTTTGGATCATTTCGTCGTTCACGCTGCCTAATCACAACGCACCTCCCTTTACTTGGCAGGCCTGCCATTGGCCAGCCAAAGCTGGCTTGTTTTCAAAGGTCGGGCGCTGATTGGCCGACTGTGTAAGAAACAGTCGGTTTAAATCGGGGGGCGGGAGCGTGTTCCGTTTGAATCCAACAGACAGTAGCTGTACTCTGGCCGACAAACCCCGACCGACAACCGGTGAGTCCGTACCGGGAAAAGTTTTTGTTTGTTTATAGTCTCCTCTGGGTAATAAACAGGCTAGCCGCAGAGCCAACGCTTAGCCGACCGGTGGAGCTAACAGCTAGCACCTTTAGCACGACGTCGTCACAGTGAAGGTGAGCCTCGTCTGTTACCGGAGCGACCTAACGGGGTAAGGTCTGAGTAAAACACCCGAACGGTGGCCCCAGAGGCGGATCCAGCTGGAGAAGAGTCCTCGGAGCTGCATCCGGTGCCAGCGTTTAGCTGCTGTTAGCTTAGAGGGAGAAACACGGGAGGTGATCCGCAGAGGAACCCGGGCCTTCTAACCTCAGTTTGTCTGATTCAGCAGAACAGGACGGTAACGCTCATGGCCTCCCAGAACATGGACCCCGCAGCGGCTGCAGCTTCCAGCACCGCCGCTCTGAAAGGCAGCGACAGCGGCGGCAGCGCGGCCAGAGGCTCCGTGTCCAAACGGTGTGTTTGTGTGTGTGAGTGTGAGAGAGAGAGACTTTTCATTTTGTGTGTTTTCATATTGGGTGTTTGTGTCAGCTCTCAGTGCCAATTTCTGACTGTCGGACAGGTGTTAGCAGGTACACTTCCTGTTCACGGTTGATTAAACTTTATTAGTACAGCTGTTGGTAAACAATGATGCGTTACACCAGTGGCCCTGTCCCACTAGTACCGGCTCGGTTTTTAGGGTTGTTTTTTTTTTTTTTTTTAATAGTACGTGCTATCCTAAAATGTGACGTCAACGGACTGGGTGCCACCCATTGGCTAGTCAGTAGCGTCGACCGATGAGTCATGAAGGCGTGTCCTTCACGAAAATCAAAGCCGCCATATTTAAAACCTGGCAACTAGGGAAACCAACAACCCCAGAAACGGAAAACTAGAGTCGTGCTGAGTAGGTACTTGTGTGAAAGGGCTAAAAGTGACGCTGTTAGGCAGGTGAGGGGTGGGGGCCAGCTCCTACAGGTGTGGAGTGACAGGCAAACGTAGTATCACAGTTGCCTCAGTCTGAGTCTGGGCAAGTTTACCTGATCCTCTCTGCACAGCACCTGTCTGAGCTGCAGTTTCATGAAGGGCTGAGTTGAGTTCAGGAGGAAACACCTGAACAACAAAGGAGACAGGCAGTGAAACACTGAACTGAGCATGTGCAGCAGATTCTGAGCTTCCTGTTTGTGTCTGCAGGCTGCAGCAGGAGCTGATGACGCTCATGGTGAGTCCAGTCTTCATCAGTGTTCTAACCAGTAACACCTGAGGTCATGTGACACCCTCCATGTGTCCTGAAGTCATGTGACCAGTCTCTCTCTCTGGTGCAGATGTCAGGTGATAAGGGGATCTCTGCGTTCCCAGAGTCAGATAATCTGTTTAAGTGGGTTGGAACCATCGATGGCGCTCAGGGGACGGTATGTACACGCGGATCATTTGGGTTTCTCTGCTCTCGGCAGAAAGTTAAACTCTGCTCTGTCTTACCTGCTCAGGTGTACGAGGGCCTCAGGTACCGCCTCTCTCTGGAGTTTCCTGCCGGTTACCCGTACCAGGCCCCACGCGTAAAGTTTGTCACACCATGTTTCCACCCCAACGTAGACGAGCACGGCTTCATCTGCCTCGACATCCTGAAGGACAAATGGTCAGCGCTCTACGACGTTCGCTCCATCCTGCTGTCCATCCAGAGCCTGCTGGGAGGTAAATGCGTCATCACCCCAGCGCTGTCCGAGCTCTGCCCTCTGACCTCACTGTCACTCTGCTTCCTCCTCAGAGCCGAACAACGACAGTCCTCTCAATGCTGTGGCGGCCGAACTGTGGGACAACCAGGAAGGTGAGACCACGTAAACATCCCGCTGTGTTCAAACACGTTAACGGCTGCGTGCAGCAGGACTGATGGATGTTGTTTGTTTGTCTTTCAGCTTTCAGAACTCATCTACACTCGACCTTCCAGAATTGAAGCTCCGCCTCCTCACTTTCGTCTGTCTTCCGTGTTTGTATCATATTTTTATGTTTGTCAATAAAGTTCTTAATTCAACACACAGTGTGTTATTGATCTGAGCGGCTGAAATAGGCTGTCCTCCCCTGACACACCGCATGCAGGCTGGGCTTCTCTTAAGCTGGTTTTACTTTGAAAGGCTAGGAGGAAAAGGAGGAGCCTTGGGTGGGGTCTTTTTTTTTTTTTTTTTCTCTTTGCTGCTGCATCATCACATCAATACTCAAGTACACTTTATAGTTCACCTGAGCGCAAGTGAATTCATCCTTTGATTGGAAAGGCAGTACTTGATGACATCACAGCTCTGTCTCAGTGTGTTTTTATTGACACTGCCCTAAATTTCATTGAATAATATTGACAATGGAAATTAAACTGCAGGAATGTCTTAAAGACATAAAGACCTGGATGGCCGCTAACTTTCTGCTTCTTAATTCAGATCAAACTGAGGTTATTGTACT